AAGACATAGATGATGTGAAATAATAGACGTAATAGTCCTAACTATAAGAGGTAGATTACTATCAGGACGTCAACAAGAGCTACATACCAAAAGGAGTTACAAGATTCCTAAATGATCCATCTTCACCACTCAAAAACTCTTAGACAACAAAACCAGGAACCGGATAATATAATATCATGTTTCAAAATCAAGTTTTCTGAAGCAAATAACCAAACCAGCAGACACTAAACATGGATGAACTTACTGCATCTTTGGCACCAAGCTTCTCAGCCCAACCATTGATAGCATAGGGATCATTAACAGAGACACATACGACAGAATCAATGCCTTTAGCCTTAAACTTATCAATGTGGCTCTTGTAGCTAGGCACATGCTGCTGCGAACAAACTCCCGTGTAAGCCCCCTGCACACAGAAAACAGATATTCCGGCACAACATCAGAACTTAGATGACAATTTGATTTAGGGTGATTTGAGCTTAGGCCAACCTTTTTTGTTGACAATGGCGACAGGAAAAGTTCCTGACAAGTGGAATATTCCTCTGACTCGACTAATAAAAACATCAACTTTCATTTCATGTAACCAAAACATTACAAGAAATAAAAACAATAGATACAATAAAGAGAAAGAGATGAGTCAAGAGATAGGGTTTAGGGTGATTGATTTGTTCTACTATTATTACATAACATCTACTACGTACGTAGCTACTGTAGTCACAAGACAAAGTCAAATCAAACATACACAATTAGAAATAAAACAAAGTTAGTTGCTCATGATCACTCCATTGGCTCCATAAAGAGCAACTCCACCGGCAGCTTGGATCTTGGCAATGATTTCATTAGCTTCTTCCTTTTTGACATCTTCTTTAATGAGGGAGTAGGGGACGCTCTGCACACATTTTACCGATGATTGCAGACCCAACTCGGCCGGCCAAACATTTGATCATTATGTAAAACTTTTGATCATTATGTAAATTTACTATCAAAACTAAAAAAAAAAAAGCTTTCAAAAATCAAATTTAAAAATTTGAATTAAAAACATGAATACTAAACTACATAATGATGAAAAACCAAATTGGATTTGTAGAATCTCTAACGATCAAACGAATAACGGAATCCAAAATCCAGTTAGTTTTCATATATCATTATGTAAATTTGGTATCAAAACAAAAAAAAAACTTTTAAAAATTCTAATTTAAAAAACAAAAATCACTTTTAAAAATTGGAATTAAAAACTTGAATATTAAATCTACATAATGATGAGAAAACAAATTGAATTTGTGGAATCTCTAACGATCAAACGAATGACGGGATCCAAAATTCATATATCATTATGTAAATTTAGTATCAAAACTAAAAAAAAACTTTTAAAAATCCGAAAGAAAAACATAAATCACTCTTAAAAATTGGAATTAAAAACATGAATACTAAATCTACATAATGATGAGAAAACAAATTGAATTTGTAGAATCACTAACGATCAAACGAATGACGGGATCCAAAATCCGGTTAGTTTTCATATATCATTATGTAAATTTAGTATTTAAAAAAAACTTTAAGAAATCCGGGAAAAAAACAAAAATCACTTTTAAAAATTGGAATTAAAAACATGAATACTAAATCTACATAATGATGAGAAAATAAATTGAATTTTCGGAATCGCTAACGATCAAACGAATGACGGGATCCAAAATCCGGTTAGTTTTCATATATCATTATGAAAATTTAGTATTAAAAAAAACTTTAAGAAATCCAGGAAAAAAACAAAAATCAATTTTAAAAATTGGAATTAAAAACATGAATACTAAATCTACATAATGATGAGAAAACAAATTGAATTTTTGGAATCGCTAACGATCAAACGGATGACGGGATCTAAAATCCGGTTAGTTTTCATATATCATTATGTAAATGTAGTATTAAAAAAAGCTTTTAAAATCCGGGAAAAAAACAAAAATCACTTTTAAAAATTGGAATTAAAACCATGAATACTAAATCTACATAATGATGAGAAAACAAATTGAATTTTTGGAATCGCTAACGATCAAACGAATGACGGGATCCAAAATCCGATCAAACGAATGACGGGATCCAAAATCCGGTTAGTTTTCATATATCATTATGTAAATTTAGTATTAAAAAAAAACTTTAAAAAATCCGGGAAAAAAACAAAAATCACTTTTAAAAATTGGAATTAAAAACATGAATACTAAATCTACATAATGATGAGAAAACAAATTGAATTTTTGGAATCGCTAACGATCAAACGAATGACGGGATCCAAAATCCGGTTAGTTTTCATATATCATTATATAAATTTAGTATCAAAACTAAAAAAAAAAGCTTTTAAAAATCCCGAAAAAAAAAAACAAAAATCACTTTTAAAAATTGGAATTAAAACCATGAATACTAAATCTACATAATGATGAGAAAACA